GAAGTCATCGTCCTCGCCGGAGCCGTAGTCGATCTGACCACCGACACCACCACCCTCTGACCGAGAAGGAAAGGAGGGAGGAGAAAACTGATCACCACTGGCCTCTGGGCGCTCAGCATCCGGACCGTGGTCCTCAGTACCGAACATGGCTCCCGCTCCTGATCGGCCAGGCAGGAGACGCTCAGAGCCTGAGGCATCCATCTGACGAAGAGCCCAGGCGATGTTCTTGAACTCCAGGCTCCCTGAGGTCAATGTCCGCAAATTCTGAGTACCCTGAGACGAGAGATTGGCGCCCTCCTCAAGGAACAGACCCTTCAATTTGTCGGACATCCAGAGGTCATGTCCCTCCGCCTCGGTGAACTGGGCTTCTCGTCGACTCACGTACTGGGTAAGAGTCTCTTTGTTCTCCCTAGTGGCCTCATACAGAGCTCTCCGCCCAGACCTTCGAAGCTCGTCGCCTTCGCGCTCTCCAATCATCAAATCCATCCGCGCGATCAGCGTATCCAGCCAGGTGGCCTTCGTGAGCTCGTAGTCGGTGATGTCCTCGAATCGGGCCTGCATGTTCCAATCGAACAACTTCATGAACTTCTCGCTTCGGCGCCACACAGGTACGTCTGTGTTGGCGTCCCATCTCCTGAGAGCACGCTTCCATTGTCGGTAGTGCCCCCAGCCGGGCCACGCGGGAGGGTCGGAATAGTCCCCGCGTGGCGCCCAGCTAGCGCTGCTGCTCCAGCCGCCGGAGGCCCAGCCGTAGGACCGCCAGCCGCTGTCGTGGCCCGTCTCCTCCGAGTCTGGAGGCCACCAGCGCTGCTTCTCCCATTCTCCCCCGGCGCCTTGCTTCCGCCAGCCGTCTTCATCTCGTGCTGCTGCCGTCTCCTCGGCCTTTGGCTGGTCGGTGTTGGCGCTGGGGATCTTGCCTAGTCCTGCACCCCAGGGGTCGAACTCTTGTCCGTCTCGAGGTTCTGGACGGTCGCCCTGCGCCGCGGAGACTCCTCGCATTGACTCTCGCACGAGATCAGGAACCGTGGCCCTCATCGTGGTCTGAACAATGCTCGCCACCGCCTCCTGTAGCGCCTGCGGGCTCAGAGTAAGCCCCTGTGAACTGGCAGCCGCCGAGCTTCCGCTGTTCCCCGTAGCGGTAGCCCCTGGCTGCATGGCCGCGTAGACCTCGCCTGCGTCTGCGTCGGCAGGCATCACTCGCCGTGGATCCCACGCCGCTCAGCGTACAGAGCGGAGCCGGCCCGAGGCTCGCAAGCGGGTAGGCCGCAGCCGCTACAGCTGCGCGCTCCCGCCCATGGCCACGGGCCCGACCCCGCTCCGCTACCAACTGTGGCAGCAGCAGGAGCAAACGAATGTTTTGCCTTGAGCCACAGGTACGGACACAAGCGCACTCTGTCAAAGATCCCCTGGATGAAACATCACGCTAAACCTATTCGTGAAAATCTAGACCCTTGTCACAATCAGCATTATCATCATGAGCATCATCATCATGATCATCATCACCATCATCACCATCACCATCATCATCATCAGCAGCATCATCATCATCAACAACATCAGCAGCGTCAGCATCAGCATCAGCATCATCATCGTCACCACCAAAACCTGACCTGACAAGAACGGGAAGCGAATGTTCGAACGTTCGATGCAGGTGTGGCATCACATGGGGACGTCAAAATTGGAACGAACGCTTGTGCGACCAGGAGGGGACTGCGCGGTGCCCGAATCAAGGATACCTCGTAAAATATACGACGCTCGCGCTCCCGCATCAGCAGCATCAGCATTATCATCATCGTCACCACCAAAATCCGCCGACCCCTTGGGGTAACGGCGTGTGAGATGCCTCCCCAAACGCCTCCCCCGGGGGCCTGGTCCGGCCGGTTTGGAAGGGGGGGGGAGGGCAAAGGTGTCGGCCGCACACTTGGAGCCTCAGGAGGCCCCAAAACGAGCCAAAAAGGTTCAAAAGGGTCCCGGAACGGTCCAAGAGAGCTACGAGTCGACGAAAGATCGTTCCACAACACCGGAGAATGCCTCCAGACGGCCCCATGAGTCCCCAAGACTCTTGAAAAAGTACTACAAGGCGCCCCGCGAAGGCCCTCCAGAAGCAAAAATCGTCAAATTCCCAAGGGGGAGCGTACATTTTCGGCACATTCGCCTTTTGGGCTTCCACGCGGCCCACAACGGCCCAAGAAGCCTCCAAGATCGACCCTCCGCAGCCCAAGAGGCTCCCAAAAAGGCTCCACGACGGCTTCCAGGCGATCCGCGAAGGCTCCAGAAACCATAGCAACGGCCAGGGAGAGCCGCAGGACGATCCCAAGAGGGCTCCAAAACGGGTCAACAGGGCCCCCAGAGGCTGCCCAGACGGCCCACGCATGGGGCGATTCGGTCCAAACCGCCCTTAAGATTGCCTCCAGTCGTCCCCATAGGCTCTTGGAGGGCCTCCGGAAACAAAAATCGTCCCTTTCCGTATGGGAAACATACATTTTCAGTACAGTCGCCTCTTGGGCTTCCACGGGGCCTACAACGGCCCAGTAAACCTCCAAGTTCGACCCCCGACACCCCAAGAGGCTTTCAAAAACAGCTCCACGACGGCTTCCGGGCGCACCACGGAGACCTCCGAAAGCACAGCAACGGCCCAGGACAGTCGCAGGACGGTCCCACGAGAGCCCCACAACGAGCCAAGAGGGTCCCCAAAGGCCTTCTGGACGGCCCACGAGGGGGACGATTCGGTCCAAACCGCCCCAGCTTGCCTGCATACGATTCCCCATAGGCACCCGAGACGTATGAAGAAAACTATTACGAGGCGCCCCACGAAGGCCTCAAGGAGCAAAAATCGTCCCATTCCCGAGGGGAAACATACATTTCAGCACATTCGCCTCTTGGGCTTCCACGAGGCCTACAACGGCCCAAGAAACATCCAACACCGACCCCCTACAGCGCCAGAGGCTTGCAAGAGGGTTCCAAGACGGCCTCCGGGCGCCCCACGAAGGCCCCAGAAACCATAGCCACGGCCCTGGAGAGCCGCAGGACGGTCCCAGGAGGGCCCCAAGACGGGCCAAATGGGCGCCAAGAGGCCCCAGAAACCACCGAACCGACACGGGACGGCCCCAGTACTGCTTCCCAAAAGTGCCCAAATGGGTTACACGAGGCTCCCCCGACGGCTCCAGAGCGCGAGCTACGACTCGTGAGGAGATCGCTCCCAAACGCCCGCCGCTGCCTCCAGCTGACCCCTGAGGCCCTCTAGACCCCACGACACGTCACCAGGACGCGTCCCAAGAGGCCCAGCATAACCAAACCTCGGCCTCTTCCCGAAGGGGAACGTCTAAGTTTAACAGATTCGCTTCTTGAGCTTCCACGAGTCCCCCAGCAGCCCCAAAAGCTCCAAGAATCAACCCCAAAGCCCCCCGCATGCCCACAAGAAGGCTCCCTGACGGCACAAACGGGCCCCAACAGGGCCCCCGAAGCCACCAGGGAGAGCCCCAGGACGGCCCCAAGAGGAGGGTAAGAAGGGAAGCCCGAATGGAGAATTCGAGCACTTCGCCCCGAGAAAACATGAAAATGCGCCTACATGCACCCAAGAGGCCCTGACGGGGATCCGCAATGCCTCGAATGGCCCCAGGGCCCACAGGCGGCCCTTCGACGACGAAAACCAACTGACAAGATTAAGACTCCGCAGCAAACATTTTTTTTCCCCTCAGAAATCGTTCACCATGACCCCCCCGGACCCTTCCCGGAAACCAATCGCAACCGTTTTCCCAAATGCATCCAGCCGCGGCGACAGGGGGGGGCCCGAACCCCCCAAACCACTATGAACCTTCCGAGTCCGACGGGCTACTCCGCACAAATTCGTTCCCCGAAAATCTCCCCGGGTCCGCTGATGCAATTTCTCGCCCCAGGTCCGTCTGTTTTTGAAATCCCTGGGGCCCAGCAACGGCCCCCGGAGACCGAAACCTATCAAACATAAAAACGGTTCAAACAGAAATCTCTGGAAAGACAGCCGGAACTGCCGCGGGCATCTACCTCGATCAATAAGAAGAGGAGAAGGACGAGGAAGAGGAAGAGGAGGAAGAGGACATCAGAAAGAATATTTCGTCGTCGCCGCCGATGTCTCACAGATTTTCGTGGTCGTTCGACCACCCGAAGCATCTCCTCGAGTTCAGCCTCCAAGAACCGTGATCTGTGCCTGGGACCACCACCGAGGGTCCGGGATGAGGATCGACCTTCCTGGCCGGCGCCGCCCCTTCGCAAAGGAAGGCATACGGGACGGATCGAGGCTCGAGGCATGAGACTCCTAATTCTTGGGCGCTCTCCGTCCCCTCTGGGCCTTCAAGAAGCTCCTCGTCGACACAGCTGGGTCCACTCTCGAACTTCTGGCCGGACGCACCCCCAGCTGGGTCTCAACGATCCCCGAGCCTATCCAGGGGTGGAAAAGGAGGCCTGGAACAGGCCCCGTGAAAGCCCCAAGAAACCCACATAAGACCACGGACAACTTCAAACAATTCCCTACAAGGTCCCCCCTTGAACCCCACAGGCTACGTAAGACAGGCCGAAACCACAAGACTGCCCAGCGATCGCGCGCGTTCCGCGAACTCCGTCATTCACTCTTGCTGCTGCCCCAAGGAGTCGGCGGTGCGGCGTAAGCCAATGAATCACCATCATCATCATCATCATCATCATCATCATCATCATCATCATCATCATCATCATCATCATCATCATCATCATCATCATCATCATCATCATCATCGTCATCGTCATCGTC